TCAAATGTACACAAATTAAATAAATACATAATATTAATTTGAATGTAAAACATAAAAACACACCTGCTATCCCAGTCATTGGTACCTGGATCATATTTATAAGTAGGAAGGAAATTAATTAAGCCCTCCTTATAACCTTTAAAAACATTTCCAGCCCGATGTTGTTGCTTTAATTGATCTGCTTCTAATACAATTTTAAAATTATTTTTGCGTACTAAATCTTTTACGGATATTGCATCCATTTCGGTTATTCTATAATTGAGATCACCAAACCAATATACTTGACTGAATAAAAAAAACATAAAACAAATTATAATAATAGTATTATAAAATTAAATATTAAGCATAATATAACATTATTAAATTTGAATATATTTTGATGCATTCAATTTGATTTTTATAATTTGAAAATAACTATAGATTTATCATTTAATTTTTTTTTTTATATATATTTATAACTCACTTATGATCCTTAACAGTTTTTGGTGGTGTAAAATTTGAAAATACCATTCTTGAACATATATTTTGATAATCTTGATTACGTCTTTCATATTCTTCAACATGGGCTGCTAAATGTGTATTAACAAAGCATAAAGATGTGTTATGGAAATCCATACGTACTGCAACTCCACCTTTATTTCCCTAAAATTAAGTTTAATAATTATGATAATCACAAAAAAAAATTATCAAACAATTTACCAATTTGCCCATGATTCCAGTACCAACAGTATCAGTAGCAACATTTTTCACATGGTCTATATGTTTATTTTTAACAAACACTATAAGCATCATTCCCACCAATCGAACTAATGCCACTTTTCGATAATTGCCTTTGGAATTAAGACTTTTTGTAACAGCTTGTCTAATTAATCATAAAAATAAATAATTTTTTTTTTTTTATTTAATATTATTAATTTAAAAATTTTTCTAGTTAAATACTAAATTCTTAAAACACTATAATTTAATAATATTTTCCTTAAAATCAGAAATAAAGTTAAGTGAAACAAAAAAATAATAGCACTAACAGGTATAAGTTAATACTTAGTATTTAAAAACAATCTATTTGTCATGATCATGAACAATATAATCAATACATTTAGCATACTTCTTTATAATATATGCTAATGTACTTTTTTGATTTTTTTTTTTTTTAAATAAAAGTAATTATATTCTGTCTTCAACAATATTAATTAATGACTAATAAGCAAAAAAAAACTGTTACTAATTAGAGTTTAAATACATTAATTATTTGTTTTTAAGTAATGCTTAATATGAATTTACATAATAAGTATCTGTAAACAGGTAAGTTTACATATTGTGATAGTAGTGATCGACTGTTCAGTTAATTAAATATAATATTTTATTAAGGAAGATTGATAAATTAATAATAAAAAGATTAAGTAAAAAGTTTTGATATGCTAAAAATACTTAAGTTTGATTATTAAACAATTATTAAATATTACAAATCACTTACAACCATTCTTCTTCTCGGGGAGAATCATTAAAAAGAAATGCTTCTTTACTAAGATCAAGTTCTTGAAATCCAATGGCATAAATATCAGGCGGTTCAGAATCACAAATCAGCCAATCATTAAGTGAAGATAAGGTTGGTTGACCATTAACATTCCAAGTACCAATATAAATACTAAAAAAGAATAAATATTAACATAAAGTTAAATAATATATAAAAAAAAAATAAAGACCTGAAATTTTGTGCATTAGTATATTGTTCTTCGCTCAAAATCATTTGTCGCTGTATAACACTTTCTCGAGAACTAAGTGTATGTGTTCCAGTTGGAAATGATATATCATTTTCAGACACAGCCATCTTATAAGTATAATACATAATTAAAATACCAATAATATTTTTAATAAATATAAATTATTACATTAGCCGTTATTATATTATTAGGTGTATTATCACCGTGAATATTCATCATCAAACCTAATTCCAAGTCGAGATCATTTGTATTATACTTTTTTAACCATTGAAAATCCAATGTCTGTTGATTTTTTAAATAAACTGTTAAAAAAAAATATTGTTTAATAATTAATAAATTATAGAATATTACTATCTACAGCTAAATACTAACGGTCCATTGATCTAGATAATTCATTAAAAAAATGATTAGTTTCGTGTCCAGAATCCATTCCCATAAATAATTTAAAATTCCGAGCTGATAAGTTAATATAAATATCAGAGTTTGATTCTGCTGACAATGAATCTATACATATAGTTATAATTATTTGTTATATTTTACAAGTAATTGTTAATTGGGTACATATTAACAGTCACGATCAAAAAGGATTTTAGGATTTAAACATTACATAAGTAATATGTTCTAAGATAGAAAACAAATAATGTTTACCAATATCACATTTGAAATCATTATCAATGGGCACAACAAAGTTGATTGTGAGGTCTGTAAAAGCTTGTGGTGGATTTCTGGATGTCGTAAATACAAACAAACCAAATGATGAATTACGCTCAACCAAGGCTAATAATCGGTGAGCTTTAGGTGACCAGCCTTGCAACAATACACCTTCGTGGAGCTGAGTAAGGGAGACATGTGTAATGATTGTAAAAACGTAATAAATAACTACTAATTACCGCCACAACATTGTCACCAGCGTTCAATTTATCCTTCATAATAGCAGCTAGCTCCATCGCAGAATAAAATATAATCCACAGGTATAAAAAAAGCTTAAAACGTACTTGACTGTCTGTTATAATGGCCACCACGGAGAATTTAAATGCTCCAAGAGCAGATTAGAATATTTTAAAAAAAATCGCTTACACCTGCTTCAGGATACTGAACAGTCAACAGACTACTGAACAAATGAACAATATACACAACAATAGTAGTAACAATTTGTAATTATTATTACTTGTATTGGTGTACCCATTAATTTAAATAAAACATATTATTATCATGAATACATTATTATTACTATTATACGTAAAAGATACGAATCGTGATAACACAATGCATATTGCATAGAGTATTTAAATTAAAATCATATAGATTGACCAAATAGTGGAATGACTAAAAAGGCAGGCATGTATACGAGTCACAGTAGTTGTCCGTGCCAAGTATTATAGTTTATAGTTATTACTTTTTAAAAGACATCTAAAACACTAGAACGTCTAAAACATTGATACTGTGGCGACCAACAACCTCATTATCATTATTTGTTTTTGTATATTATATTTATGTAATCAGCTGTCACGCGTAATTTTGTTATTGTATATCTGTATCTCTCTCACCGCCGCCATTAACCATCAATACGTAGCCGCCTGGCGCCTACCGGCGATCTTCTCTCTTTTACGGACAACCGTCGCTGCGATCGCGTGTTTATCGTTATCGTCCTTCGGACTCGTGCTCCCTCCATAGAAAATACTTTTGTAGGGCTCTGTAACGTTTTGTTTATTTCTATTACGATTCACATTTATTATTTTGCTTGCAATATTTTTTATACTCAGATCTTTGTATCGAATATTTTGTTTATACCTTTGCGCAATATATGTTAACCTGTTAACGCCTTTCAGCGTTTCAGCACGTACAATTTCATTATTTTTTGAATTATTGGTAACCCAAGTCAAAACACGTGACACGGTAACAACAAAGCACACGATTCAAACTCCAAAATACCATAATTAAATGTTTTATACGCTTAATCACGATTTAAAATATTAAAAAAATTAATATACTCGTATAATATATATTTATGTTCATCTATTTGATACTTTAATCCGTAACTTCATAAGCGGATATTTGATTGAATTTTAGGGAGGAGAGCTTTCTTTGCATGGTTGCAAAATAGGTACCTACTTAATACTTTGAAAAATGTTCAATAATTTTAGGGAGGCTTTCGATTTTTCTGCGGGATGCTAAGCCCCCAAGCACCCCCCAATCGTTGCCTATACGAGGCTTAACGTATGGTAAAAGATTAAAGACGTATTATTGAACCTTCTATTCCATAAAATAGTTATTCCTAAATAAATCTGTTCAATTATAATTCATGTCCAAAATGTACATTTGTTCCACCGTTTATTTTAATGACTAGGTAATTGTTTTACAGTACAGTCACTAGTCAGTATACTAGTAGCCAATACTTCTAATTTATTATTTTTATTCTAAATTGCATATTTTTTAACAATAGATTTTAGATTTTTTTCAGGAATATCAATTAGTTATTAATTATTACCTACAATTTATTTAAAAATTATTTACTGAATAGAAATGCTTGAAAATTGAATACAAGATACTACAAAATGTATTCTTATATTATCTATGTAAAAATATTAAAAATACATAATCTCAAACTTTTTCATATACATTTAGAGTTAAAATGTTGACGAAATTAGTGTAATTAAAAAAAGATAATATAGTAAAGTTAATACCCAGCTTATAGGAGAAGAGAGGAAGCTATCCTTCAAAATTAGGATAAAAAGCGAAAAAGCGTTGTGAATAAAATCAAGATTGAAAACATAATTGAGTGGTACAGATATAAAATAATTATATGTATAATTATTTAGGAACTTTTTTTTAAGTGGGTAATGAGGAAATAAGTAGTAAAGATTAGAAGTTTATTTTGCATCATAGTGGAAGCTTATTTGTTTTGATAATATTAATTATAGTTGTACATAGCTAGGATTTGAGAGAAGATGTGCTGTTAAGGCAAGAACCGAAAAAGTCTTTAGGACATAGTTCCAGGAATAATAAACCTTGAGGAAAGAAATGAAATTTGAAAATATTGGATTCTTTAATAAATTTTTTAATAAGAATTAACCAGACTACCAGAGAGTCATATAACTCTTATTGTTTCATTTTCCAGAGTTGGAGAGTGGGAATTTTTATTTATTATGATTTATGATTATTATTAATTTTTTAAATTATTCAGAAAAAAAAATACAATTTACAGGTCTGCCAAAACATTTCAGCGGACGACAGGCGAAATCTTTCCCGCTTTTTTTTATCAATAGAACAATTTTCTTTATAGTTTATAATATCAAAATATATACATAAAAAGAACATCGTTTTTAATATTGCGAATTTCAAGTGTGAAGTGGTAGTGGTCATTCAACTCATTAGTTAATCGAAGCATTCGAAGCAACTGACATATAGATCATGCAAACGAGTATAGTAATCAGTAACCGGTTCACATTTAAATTGTAGTTAACAAATAACAAAGTGACGAGCTTTTTGAAGAAATAAATACGAAGTCTTCTGAATCGTTCCTGTTTCATTTCGAAGTTTGTATGTTTTTACCTTCTTGATTTTGAATATTTCTTTACCGTGTAGCGTAGCCCCAATAAACACATTCATATTTCATAGTTATACCGACCATAAATAAATGTCCTCAAATTACTTAATATTTCTATTCATTAACTTTTTTAATTTTTAATTTTTATTCTAGATATTTATATTATTATATTTGGATTCTTGGTTTTATTTTTTATAACATAAAAATGCAAGTAATTAAAAAACCATTCCGTGTTGCAATTGAAGGAAATGTTGGATCTGGAAAATCAACATTAATTAAGTACTTTGAAAACTTTAAAGAAGTTGAAACAAATGCTGTGAGTTTATTAGTTTATACTTTATATTAAATATAAGTGTTTATTGAATAATATCTATTTAATGAATAAATAATTGTATAGTTATATTATGCTATAATATATTTATATTGGTTCTCTAAAATCATATATTTTTATTTTTATTTAATTCAAAATGTTTTTACGATTTTAATTTATATATTTTGATATTTTGTAGGAACCAATAGAAACATGGAGAGATTTAAATGGTCATAACTTACTTCAACTGACATACTCAGATCCTCACAGATGGAATTTTGCTTTTCAACATAATGTACAACTAAGTCGTTTGAATTTACAGTCAAAAACTACAAATAAAGACGTACAAATGTTTGAGCGTTCTTTGCAAAATAATAGGTACCTAATATTAATTTATAAACATTTATTAATAGAGTTTAAGTTTTATATGTACTAAAACGTATCACATTTTGCTTATTGTCCTACCATTTTTTTAAATTGTGTTGGCTGATTCATATGGAAATTTTGTTTATATTTAAAGTTTTATCTAGCTATTTGTTTTACTATAAAATTATTCCCAATTAATTTAATATAATTTTTATTTTATTTACATTTTTAACTCAATGGAATAATTTTAAAATACAAACCTATTTTTTTATTTATACCTAGTTAGCTTTTTATTTTTTCTAATTTATTGTATATTAAGCATTTACTAAAAAAAAAATTAGGCATACTCATGGTTAAAAAAGAATGGGTTGTAATCATCTTAGTTGATGTTTGCAAATCAGATTGAATAATAAATAAACCACGGAAAGGAATATTTTGATGATTAGTAAATACCAATTTTAACTTAAATCAACTTGTTTATTTCTATTATAGTCAAATTTTATATACTTGTACAGTATACTTCTGAAATGAAAGAGGTCAGTAATATAAGTGTACTCAATATTGTGGCCCATTGAAGATTTTTTTAAAATTTGTTTCCTATCTCCAAGATCTGGGTTTATTTAAATTATTTTTAAAATATTATCTTAAATTTAAAAATAAATATTTATTTTATATTGCATTTTTTGCAAAGTTTTTGTACAACTCAAGATATAAAATCGCTTTTAAGCTTATTGTACATTCTTCACAATGATTCACCAACTAAAAAAGAGTGGCATAATACATTGATTTGTTTGAGAACTCTGCAAGATAATTGTTGAAATTTATTTATTATCATTTAGCATGTTTGATTAATTGACACTATATGTTACATTATAAAATAATCATAATCTGAATACACTTTATTTTGAAAATCAATTTTTGTTTAGAAGAGTTGTTCAAAATTGTTTCCCTGTTAACTTTGATGCACACTTAAATCATGAAAAATAAATTAAAAATGTTGTTTTTGTACGAAGTATGGTGTATTTAATATTAAATATTAATGATAAAACTATAATATTATACTAATAATAAGTACATAATGAAATGTTTATCATATTGTGTCAAAATAATTATGTTATTGCAATAATCAAAAAATTCTTTCAGTATAAATACATAAAAAGTTTCTTTCATCTCTAATTTGTAGTATTATGATACAAATATTCATCAAAAAAATAAAATATTTTTTTAGATATTGTTTTGTGGAGATGGCTCATGACAAAGGATTATTATCCAGTCCTGAATATGGAGTAATGTGTCAATGGTATGAATACATAGAAGCAAATGTGGACATTGGATTAGATCTAATTGGTAAGTAGTTAGTACTGCACTCTATTTATTCCTATATAAAAACAATTATTCAATAATTAATAATTACTTGAGTTCATTGTAACTTGTATCTGTGATTAATATGTATAATTTTATATCATAAACAATTTTTCATTTTTTTTTTATATACCTATTTATACTTTTACTTTGTTTCAACTAAGAGCATAAATCAGAGGCGATGACTGAATTTTTTGAGATGAAATATATTTTGGGAGATAAAAATCAAAATTGATATTGTCTACTCAATTAATTTTATTTAAATTATATTTATTGTTATGTGAATTCTAAACCAAAACTGCGATTAATTAATTATACATTTTAAAAATATTTTACTAAATTTGTGAACTTAAATTTAAATCATTTTTATTTTATATGTGTTGTGTTTTAGATTCTGAGCAGATCGATAAATTTATTGATTTTATAATGATGAGTTTTTTTTCTGTCATCTTCTTTTAGAGAGGAAAAAATTAATCTTACTACCATAATAAAAGTTAAATAAATTTTAATAGCATAATTAATAAACATGGTTGAAAGATAGTCTTTGTTCAAAATCATTTTTTGTATTTAATGATATATTATTGAATTAAAATTTAATTCCTCCATTACAATGACCCTAGTGACTCACTTGACGTACTCTAGAGCAAAAAAATACCTACTTGCCTAACTTTCTATATTTGGTCTTTTTTCCATCACTTAAATAATTTAATATATTATATGATATTTTTTGATATTTCAGTTTATCTAAGAAGTTTACCAGATATTGTACATACAAGAATGCAGCGTCGTAACCGTCCAGAAGAACGTACTGTAAAACTTGATTATTTAGTAGATCTACATGAATATCATGAAAAATGGTTAATAAAAAAATATTACAATCTCCCATGTCCATTATTAGTGATAGATGTCAACAAAGACTTATCTGACAATCAGCTTATAGATATATATAAAACTTATGAAGATATAATATTTGGTAAAATACCAGTTTTATAATTCATAGATTATACATTTCTATTAAGTAAGTGATTTTATGTTTCAACAAGATAACTCTTTTATATACATTTTAGTTCTTAAGTTAATTTTTAGATTTCAATAGTTTTATATTTATATTAATTTGCATCTTCTTTAAAAAAAAATAAACATTTCAATTTTTAAAGACATTGGACATTGTTACCTAATCTTTATTCTCAAAATCTTAATTTTAAATATTTTACAAATTAGTTATATTAATCAAATATTTAATAAGGATTACACATATTTACACATTGTTACCAAATTGCATTATTCAGATTAATATACTTTGTTATATGCGTATCTATCTTAACCTTTTTTTTTAATTTTGCTTGTTGATCACATCTTTATTTCTTTTTGAAGTTTCCGATTCACTCTGATGAAATCTTCTGCCTTCTAATTCTTCACCAAGTCCACCCTTTCTTGTTAATAGATCTGGATTTATACTATACATGCACTCACAACAGGATGGTAATTTAAAACTTTCATAATATATTTCTTTAGAATCTTTGATGGCAACCAATTTTTTGTAGATATATTTTTGTACACAAGTTGTTGTGTATCCATTTGGTAAAAGATCATTAAATTTGCATGTTGTTCCAGCATTTCTACATGAATAATTTAATTAATTCTTACTCTTGTACATTTTTAATTTTTATACTTACATACATTTCTCCACTCGAATCCCTTGTTTAAAACTAGTATTGTCATTATTTGGATCTTGTATAATATATCGCCATTCATTGTTTTTAGTAATACCAGCTTCGGGGAATATTACATCTTCCTAAAAATAAATTATTCTAATTAAAAAGTATTTTTACATTGATTATTTTATAATAATAGTTTAAATATACTAAAAGCCTTAGGTATACCAAGGATCTAAACTTAAAATGTTTACTGATAGATCATAGCAAATTTTAGCATTACATACAAAGTGTTCAAGAATCATTGAAAATATTTATTAAGTTTAAGGTATAATATACATATTTTTTACATTTCTAAATCATTTAAATTCATTTAGATTTGGTCAAGTTGTATATTATATTATATTTTTTATATTTAATTAATATGATTGCACTTATTTATAAAATAATAAAAATATATTGTAGTACGCATTTATGTTGGTTTTTTGGTACTTACTTTTGATTCACAGAATGGTTGGAGATTACTATTAGATAATCTTGTTTCCAAATCAGTTATCTAAAATATAAATGTATTTTTATAATGCACAATTTTGGTAGGGAACATAATTATTTGAAATAATATTAATATACTAAATGTATAGTATGTTGTATGTAATTTTAAGATTACCTACTTCATTTACAATATCTGTTCCAAAATAAGAATTTGACATATATTTGCTGGTTCTAAAAATATTGATTAAATCTTGTCTAATAATGAAAAAATAAATTATTTTTAGGTTAATTAGTTTTTTCATACTTTTTAAAATTAATTTGGTTTGGTGTTTACCGTGGATAATTATCAACTTTGATGCAAAAGCTTTCGTTCAACGAACATTTTTCGATTACATGTGGTTCTGGTATAAATTTGTTAATTTTAACTGATTGCATTTTTTCATTAATTGAACTTGGAAAAACAATTGACGAAGATTTGGTTTGTGGTAATTTTAAACTGCTGTTATGTTGTTTATTAGTATTATTGGTTGTATTTATATTTTCATTTTTAAATAATGATTTTGTCAAGTTTGTTGTTGGCGTATCTCTTGAATGTACATTTTTAATATTCGTAACAGCAGGTTCATTTCTAAAAATAAAACAATAAATTAGCAAATAAAATTTAGGTTAAATATATATATTATTTGATGATCTTAATAGTAATGGTGTTAAGTTATTATATTTGTTTTATATTATTTAGTTTTTATGGATAAAATATAAAATATAAGTCAACAGAGGATTTTGATGTTTGTGGCTTGTGCATATTACTTCTATTGTATTATATATTTTATCCTAAATTTTTAAATACATTATATTTATATTTAAAAAAGTAAATACCTATGTGTGTTTGGGTTACACAAATTGAATAAATTTAAATTGACATACCTATTCATAATATTTGGAAAGATTTTTACTTGATTATCACCATTTTATCTTCTGTGACTACAATTCAATGTATGATCGATATTTTTTTAAATGGTCTATTAAAATTTAAATTTTTTTTCCTAAATTTTTACTACTAATTTGTCTGATACTAGGTTTAAGTGTCTAACATCAATATTATTACTCTATAGTCCAATTAGAGCACAGTAAATGAATTTAAACATTCTGAAATGTGTTAACCAGCTACTCTTTTATGAAATTTAATACCTACTTATTTAATGTTTTGAAATTTAAGTAATGGCACAAAATAGAAATTATTAAAATAAGCTTAGATTGCCTAAATTATTATTAAAAACGAGGATCAGATTATGAGAAATATTAGAGAAGAAAAATATTACAGTCTACATAGCATAATATAGTGTATTAGCCAAAGCGACAAAACTATTGAGATCACCTTAAAATTTCTGGCAATCATCTAAATTTTAATAAATCCTTCAATTTTTTAGAAATATTTTTATTTAATTAGTAAAAAAAAAAAAAAACAGCTGACTATATCTAAGAGAGGAACTGCAAGAATTGTTTACAAATAATAAGAAAAGTTAGGAAGGGGAATTATCCACCTTAAGGGAAACTTGATGGTTATAAAAAATATTATCTAAAAATAACATAATTCATTGTTAAAATGTTTGCTTAAATACATAAAATGTATTATATTATGCACTGAGCGATTCATCAAACGTGTTCTTTTAATCACCCTAATTTTTTACCTTTACTATTGAATTTGTACAAATTTTAAATTTTGTATTTTTATGTACCTATTTAAACTGGACAATTATATTTTTAAATATCTTTTGAATTTTTTATGAGTTGTTAAACGGATTACTATTCAAAAATGTCGACAATCTATCCAAATCTAAATTTAAACGAGTTCTTTTTCAGTTATTTTACTTTTTATAGGTTCATAATAATAGGATTTAAAAGTATGGGTACTATAGTGTTAATTTTTTTATTTCTAGATAGATTTATAAATTCTATAAATCTATCAATATTTTACAATTTGTAAAAATTGTTGATAACTGTGATAAGTTAAATAATACTGGAGCAATTTCATCTATTTTATATTTTCAGAATATTGTTTTAATAGCCTGGAAAATATCCGTTTGAAGTTTTGTAAAAATATCAACTTTTACAAAAGAAAAAAAATGAAAAATTATTTGTTTAATAGTTTCAGCAAAAAAAGTAAATTCTTGTTAAAATATATATATATGTATTGCTTTAAAAAACTCCTTATATATAACAAACGATCTAAATATTTAAAAATATAGTCTTAATAACAACCTTAAAACTTATTTAAGTGGATATTCTTAAAAATTGGATAAATTTGTTATTAAATATAAAATGGTTGTAGGAGGGGAGTGATCATCATGCTTGATGGATTACAATTAATCCTATGTATCAAGGATTCCCAACCTTTTTTACTTAACGACGCACTAGATAATTTTAAAAAATGTCATGGCATACTTAAATAAACAATAATAATATATATATGATGTTATATTTATTTATATTCAATGATACAAATTTAACGTAATATTTGAGACTGATGTTTTTTACATAATTTCTCTATTCGAGGTGAAATAGTTGAAACAGCAATACATAAATCAGGTTCAAAAAAACTTAATTTTAAATAGATTAAGTTTGATTAGTTTGATTTAAAATTTCTTGTTCTTGACTAGAACTCGATGTAAGATGAAAGCAAATCAAAAAAAAGGAAATTAATTATCTCATAAAATGAATCAAATTTATCTATTTATGTATCATATCTCAAATATTATTATTTATTAAAAATATATTTTTTTTTTAATGCATATTTTAATAGTATATTTAGTGATTCTTTAAGGCAAAAATGTGTGCATATTTTAAGGTTTTTTAGGGCATGAAGTTCCTAGCCCTAATTATTGTAATATGTGATAATATTTAACAGGACTGATTAAAATACCCGTATTGGGTATTATCGGGTGAATAATATATTATAGCTATTTTATTTAGATATCTTACCAATTTTTATTTTCAAGATAATTTCGAAAGTAATGCTATTATAAATATAAATTATAATTTTGATTATTATATTTAGCACACATAATAACTAATAAGACAAAAAATTACACAACATACCTGAATAATTTCGCGGCATACACGTGTGCCACGCGATTGGGAATCTTGCTATATATACTGACATTGGAAAAATATTATTTTCGAGGGAAGACTGTAGGAACAAGGAGGTAAATATAAAATACCTTCTATCAAAAAGATATACATTGGAGTAGAAATTCCAACCAGTGGTACATGGTAAGCTCATAGCTGGTATACAAAGAAAATAGATTTATTATTATCATGTTTTTACTTTAATTTAGTTTCTAAAATATTAATAACTGTAAACTTTAAAAAGTTTTTTTTAAGTGGTCTATGAACATTTTAAAAACTTCGCAGGCTGCATAGGATAATGCATGGATAATAGGATAATATTGGAAATTACCACACTTTAACATAAAATATCTGCCGAATATTATAGTAGGTACCTATCTAATTTCAATTATTTATGAATTGTTTCACCTATTGATGAATACAAGTATCAAAACTTTCGAAAATGTTTAATTCATATAGTTCCGCATATTATTATTTTGGCTGTTTAATTATTAGTTGCACCATTTATAATATATATATACTAATATTTATTACTAATTATTAATAACCACGCGTTTATTCATATAACTTCCTTTTTAGGTTTTCCATTTACAAGGTAGGTACTATAATATTATGTAATATTTAATATAAGTATAAAACACTGCGGTCACTAATTAATCAGTATGCCTTTATAACGTAGAAAATACTTTTTGTATCGTGATGTCCTTAATCATTTTAGCAGTTAAAGGTACATTCAGAGGCGCGCCATGTGGGAGAGGGTATCAAACCCCCTCCACCCCTGAAATTTTAACGAATTTAGTAAAAAAAATATTACTTAATATTTGTATACATTTGAAATTAACTTGAGATGCATGTTAGTAAAAATATTGAATCCCCTCCTCCGAAAATTTTTTTTAGGCACGTCTATTAATAGGTACATTATATATATGCTAGAATGTTACATTGTCCAAATGTTAACATTATAAAAAACGTGATTGGTATCTAGTTAATGTTTTATGCTTTTATTTCATATATATAAGTTATTTACTGCATTATTGGATACGTATGTTATGTACATATTCTTAGTATAGGTATGTTCATAGCTGATACCATCGATAGCATCGCGGACCCCAGGAGTACGGACCACAATTTAAGAACCATTGACAAAAATCAGCATGTATATTATATAATGAGTCAAAACAATACACTGATTTAAAAATTTATCAAGAAACCAACGGAATTAGAATTTATGTAATCAAGAACTTATAGTACCGCTGATAGTTGGTAGGTCATCAGTGTCATAAATGTAAATTATATTTGCAGCACCTATGCTCCAATTTACAAATTAATACGAGTATACAGTATAACAGTGTAAGAAATTCATAAACATACCTATATGAAACTAGTTATAATAATTAATATTTATATATACCTAGCTCCTTGGTTCATTTTTAATTTAAATTTTATATTGTATTTCTAAGCACATTTTCAAATTATATTAATTTTTTTTTAAACATTAAAAATACTGAAAATTTTACTCAATTGTGTATAGTAGATTTCGTGTAAATCTTGTCATTATTGAGTATCCAAGAAATTTACATAGTAATTGATGGTTAAAATACAATTTGAATTTGATAATTATTTATATGAGTGTCAAGATACGAAGGAGGCGGATGGATGGACTTTCTAAGGATAATTTATTTTAAATTATACCTAAATATACTATACATTTTTAATTGAAATAAAATCTATTTATCTGCATTACAATTCAACTTCTTCCTCCTTAATATTTTATTTTTCAAATTTTAATAATTTACGAAAGTAAATCCTGAATCCTCAAACTTATTTCCTATGCTATAGTTGGTGTCTATACTCCATCAAGGAGCCATTTAATCTTATTTGTAGTCCTACCCGATACAGTATAAATCTAGTGACCCGTCATTAACCAAGTAACAACTATACTTTTTATACCTCATTAGTCATTACGTTCCATTAAATACCTATTCAACGATCAAAAAAATTACATAAATATAATGAAATCAAAGTCATAGTGTTCTTAATGGAAAATTAAAATCAACAATGAAAAGTCTTGTATTATAACTTTTAGTCTTAAAAGATAAATAAATAGTATTCTCGATTTTTCAGAACAACAACATTTTAAACTAGGTATCGACCTGAAAACTTCAATGTAAAATTAAAATAGAAGTAGTTCTAAACTACTATCAATATTAAACAATTTTCTGCTCCTAGTAAGAAAATCTTAAAATCTATTTAGTAGTAAGTACATTTTTAAATATATATTATGATAAAGATATCATTAGTGTGTTAAGTAGATACAAGTGATATTAAATACTAAATAAGTACTGATGATAAGAATATTTTATGTGTCGTAATTTTGGGTACCTTTTATAGTTGTTTTATATTAAGTTATGAAACCTATACATATAGAAATTATTAATTAACCTACTTTTGATTCTCCTTAAAACTTGATGTGGTTGTAGTATCTCGATCAAATAAACTTGTTCTTTTCGGCCTATTCCTTGCAGGAGACCATAAATATCCTTCCCAGTATGAATTATAGTCATAAGTGTGTTGTGCTGTTGAATTGGGCCATTGAATCTAAAAATGAAATTAACCTATTTAACCTTAAGTTAAGATGATTTTAATCAGTTTTATTATAATATGAATATTTAACATTGAACAATCATGTGATTTTAATAGCTCCGAGGTTATTAAACCTAATTAGTCATAATATGTAAATATAAAATTTAAATTGAATTTAATATTTGATTATTTTATGAGTAAAAGTAAATTTAGATAAATATTTATTTTGTCCTAACAATAATAAAAAACGTTAATTAAAATTAAATATGTGTATAGATATATTAGTCGCCCAATTTATATTAGAATTATTATATAAGAATTAAAAATATTGTATTCACTAAATTTTTAATTTGAATACATATTTCTTATCCTAATTAATTTAGTAATATATGTATTATCAAGACTTAAGTATTAACTATTAATAAATAATAATACAAAAATACTAATTAGTTATTAATTTTTAAAAGTTTTAATAAATGACTTTTTTTTACTATGACTTTGTAGACTTAATAATTAATCTTAGTAAGTACCTATATATTTAAGTATAATTCTGCACTGCATTATTACAATGGCCAATAACATTAATATTTAATTACCTAATTTTCTATTTAGTTGATACAATAAGGAATATATAAATATATTAGATGGGTAATAAAATAATAACAATTATATTAATTTCGTTAAAATAAGTTGTCGTTAGATAATAAAAAAAAATAATGATGACTATTCATATTATTCTAAAACATAACATAAATAAAAAGTATTATCTGAGGCTTTGACCTTATGCATTTGTAATTTGATCTATTTTTGAGAATCTTATCTCATTCATTTATTCAATTAGTCTGATCAGGTTCCGTAAGTTTATGAACACAGAAACTGATGTAAATTTTGAGAATTTATTATATTATTTTACTAAACAAAAATGTAGCAATTTTTATTGATAGGTATTTACACGTCTACTTATTTTATTAAAAATCTAGCATATTATTATGTCAGTGTTTAAACACGATATGTACAATCAAAATTTCTAATTTAGGAACATACCTATTGTCTACATCGCTTAAGCATAATATCATCTTGAATCGAGCAATTATAGTCAATTACATTCCAAAAATATTTATAGTAAAATGAGTAATGATTAAATAATATAACATATAACTAACATAACGTACTAAGATTTTTCATTGGGAGTTTTAATACTTTAATGTAATATAATGTACATATATAATAAAAATAAGCATAGGTATTATTAGTTAATCACGTCAACCCAAACGTGCGAATGTTTATCGGAATTTTTATAAAATATGACGTTATAACCAACGTATTAAATAATTTTTAATTTAAAACTGTAAATCTATTATATTGTACGAAAAATAAATATGTAATGCAATTATAGTAGGATAACACACGTCACACGTCATATATTTTTAAATTTTTCATGACAATACATTTTAATTATTACATTTCACTGCATTTTGTATTAATCTTAAGATCTTTGAATTATGTGAATGTAAATTAACTAGGTACCTATTACCCAAGCCCTATTTGTATGTGCACCATGAATGCACATGTGTGCACTACGATTTGAACGTATGTGTACTACGGTCTGTAAAACAAAAATTAAACAATACTTCAGCTACTAAGAAATATAAATAATTTTAAATTTTAATTATATTGAATTATAATTTCTTTATTTATATGTAATACATATTCCTTAAGTATGCAGTCCGAAATTTTACAAATAATAAGACCTGCTATTACCTATCTATACCCATTATTGTTGGGAATTAATTAATGGATATCGAATGTACCTAATGCCTATGTTTATTTTTATTCTTTGTACAGTATAATGATTAGTAACTTACTACTTGGTACATGAATATAAAAATCGATCTACCGACAAATTATCTAATATTATTATTATTAAGGTAGTTACTATCCGCCTTCCAACAATTATATAATTGTATACATTATTGGATTTAGTAATAGGTAAATACTTTTAAACACTTAAATAGGGTAGGCCGTCATCGCTCATCAGTAGGTACTCTATGGTAAAATTAAAACTATTATTATAGTATACCTACCTAACATAGGTACTTTCTAATTGTCAAGTTTCTTTTCTAAATGAATATCAAATAATATAAATTAGGAGTGTAATAAGTAAGTAGGTAGATACTAGGTAATAAACAATACCTAGGTAACATATTATGTTTTCATAATATTTTATAAGATAAAACTGCGTCGTATAATAAATCTTAATTAGTATTCTATAAACATTAGAGATTGAACATACACAATACAAGTCATACCTATAATTTGATTTTAACAAATAAAACTATTGTAAAGATATATTTTTGTCATGTTCTGTAATTTTCTCACGTATATACCTAGTTAAAAGTTAGGTAGATATTCAATTCCATTTAATTATTGACACAAGTTAAATTTTAACTTTTTACAGATTTAAATTGATTTTAGTTAAATAAATTAGTTTTAGTCACAAGCTAAGTAACAAACTAGACACAAAATTAGGGTATACATTTTAATATTATATTAAAGGTAAAATAAAATAAGTAAACTATACTATTATACACCTATCTTAATATTTTAAACGTAAATTAATAGTTAATTAAACATAATTAATTGTATAAACATATTATGGTGTTATTAATTTATAAGAATTATATTTTAGTTATTTTTTAGAGCTTATTAGGACTATCAAAGGCATAAAAAATATGTAAAATAAGTCTATGATACAAGTTTAAAATAATAATACAATTATTATTGTGTTTCAAACGGTCAGTTTGCTTTAACTATTTAATATTTTATCATAATAATATATACATTATATGTACAAATAACGCACAAATGCACAACACGTCTGTTGGTGAAAACGTGGAAACCAGTAAATAAATGTTATTAATTATACAAAAATATTTCATTACCGTGCTAATGAGAGCCAGTATTATCATCAGCCACGGCCATTCGGTCATTTTGTCAGGGTTTTCACATCCACATAAATTTATATACACAATATAAGTACATACATGTATACTATAAATGATTTAATATGTACGTAAAATTTATAAATTGTGTTTATGTTCTGTATGTTGTTTGGCAGCTAGTAACGATTGATCGATGTATACGTAAGTTTTATTTTGTTATTATATTGATACACACGCACACACCAAACGGTTTGACTGTTATTCAAGCACTGCCGCAGCCGCACTAATGTTTGCCGTTTGGCTTTGGCACGGTGGCACTTGCCACTTGGCCACTAGAGCAGCCGGGCGGCAGTTGATATACCTATGATAATAAATTATAGGTATCCATATATTATTATGTGCACGAGTGGTTTATTGTACCGGTTTTTGCTCACATGACGCCACTGTAAATTATCAGATCGACTATTAACTAACATTCAAAAACATACAATTAAAACGTGGGTACATTTAAATAATTTACATTATTTATGTTTTACCGTAGATTATAATGGACGTCTGAATCTCAAGTATCTCCGAGTGTATAATATAAATAACATGGTATGATTACAAAGGTCCAGATTTGATTTAAGACTGCACAAAACGCGACTTGTTTACCTTTCATTCATATTATCGTTTTGTTATTAAATTTTTATTAATGTAATACGTTACACTACGTCATGTACTCACCTACCGTAGGATCTGACCATCAAAAAGTTTTATTAATGCCTTGTTAAAAATATCAAAAATCAATTTAAGGTCATATACCTAATATTTAAACAATATAATATTTTATTTAATATATTGAAAAAAAACGGAATTAAAAGTATATACAACTAAATCTTAAAAAAAATAAAATAAAATAGATTAATAGTATTATTATTAGTAATTTTAGATTATTTTTATTGAAAACAGTTTATTTGTGTATTAAATTATTGAATGTAATTAAAATGTATAATACCATTAAAATCAAAAATATTTTTAATTTGCACTTTTTGGTTTATTTTTAAATCGATTATAAAATCTAAGTTTGTTGAAAAATAACATACTAGTTAAGTTATAAAAATATAAAAATAATAACTTTAACTTACTTAAATTTTTAATGAATGACTTATACTGTTGTACTGGCTGGTCTCGCTATACTTAACACATGGTAACTCATATTAATTTATTTATACATTGGCTACATCTAATCACGCATACCTATATAATATGTCATAGACGTAGAAATGAGAAATTAGTTAAATTCAAGTAGGTGGGTAGTGGCCGTGGGTACCTATTCAAAATGTCTTTATTTCAACTAGTTTTACTGACTTGTAGAAACTTATGTCTCTTTCATAGTGTTCATATTGATATCTATTTATATATAGATGTAATATAAAATATCATATATTTATATCTATATAATAAAGATACCTAACTTGATATCTACCTACTTTCAAAAAAATTATCATTTTATAGTCCATAGGCGAGTATTATCGAATAAACGTTTTATTTTTTCAAGTATACGCATTACATTTATAAATATTGGCAGTAACCATCACCCATTACATTTTTTTAAATATACGTCATAATATATAATAGGTATAGCATGTTTGGTTATACTTTTGAATGATCAAAACATATAAAACCTTGCTTCAGGTTTTTCTTAAAATAAACATCCATGTAAGGATATTTAATTATCATCTGAATATATTATTATTATTATTGAGAAACTATTGTAGTGGGAGAAAATGAGTGTAACAAAGAAATTAGAATTCATATTTAGATAATTATATGCAGTTATTGTAATGGTAGTATAAAATAATGTATTATACATTTATTATTTATTGTTTTTAATACATTTAAGAAAACATAATTAAAAATAAACTTGAAATTATTGTATATTAGCATTAATAATTAGTTTTGTCGACAAATAATTTAAACAATTATATACATTGAGTGTTCAATAAGTTTGGAAACAGTCATTTGACTAATTGGGACTGATAAATGATAATATATTATGATAAAATTAATGAGATAGGTAATTAAATATTTTACATTATAAATCCACGGCAGTGTTATCGCTCCATGTAGGTATTAAAATGTACCTAGGTACAATTATCAAGAGTTTCCCAATTTATAGGTATTGAACACTTGAAATATAAGTATTAATGCATATATATAATATATATATATATTATTTTTGTTCATTTAGTTAAAATAAGATATTTATAATATTATTATTCAGGAACAAGTACGTATTTTCAGGATAAATTTCGGAAGGGGGGTGTTAAAATATTTTAAATACATGAACAAAAAATACATAATTATATAATTGTTTTAATGATAATATTATACTGCAACTAAAATATAGATAATTACCTACTGATGAATACAAATTACAAATTATAAATAATGAAAAAAATGATTAAAATTACAATCGTAAAATATCATAAAACAAAGTCAACTTTGCATGGCGTTTTAAAAAACAGAATGAACTCATAATTGGCTAATAATTGTAGTTACTAACAGATAAAGTCTATTTTTCGACAAGATTGCGATAATATTCTAACAAATTTAAGAAAACATATAATAATTATCGGGAAACTGGAAAATGTACAAAATATAAATACTTAAAATAAACTGTAGTTGTATAATTAAACATAGTTTGTAATTAGTCTTTGTTATATTATAAATTTATTATATACCTTATTATACCTACTTTAAAAAGTTTAGGGAGAGGATGAACCCTTCAAATCCCCTGTTGACGTGCTTGTCCAGGGGCTTTTAACCCTGAACATTAAGTACCTATCTCAAAACATTTTTTTTTTTTTGTTAAATATGTCGATGTTAATAATATTTACATAACTTAGGTATGTAAGTGGTGAATATCTATAATTTTACAAATATTAAATACCTATATAAATCAGTGAACCAACATTTTTCGTTGACAAGTTAGGTAGGTACTATTGTTTAAATTTAAATTTTTACACATTTAACTTAATAAAAATATTCTATTTTGGTTTATAAAATTAAAAATTAAAATATTTTAATAATTAAATTATACTTTAAATACTTATTCAATAGGCAACGAAACACTAATATACACTTTTTTTTTTTTTTTTAGAGGGTTTTCGAAAAAAAAGAATAACATTTTTAAATTTGTATATCATTAACTAGGAACATTTGATAATGGTTTTAAAACTATTATAAAATACGGTAAGTATTATGTAGTATAATAATTTTGTTTATAATTAATTAATATTGATGAATAAAAAAAGAAAAACAGTCATTTTTAGAAATTTTACCACATCTACAAATAATTTGTATTGTTAAATGTAAAATATTTGTTTTTGTTTGAAGTGGCTATTTCGTTAGGGTAGGTACTTATTACAGTTCCACTGTATGTCAGTATGAGTTACAAAGGCATAAAGTAAACAAATCAATAATAATTTAAAATAATGTTTACATTATAAAGAGGTTTCAGTGTTTCACTATAGTTTTAAGTAAAAATAAACATTTTTTAAAACGTAATTTTTTCTAAATACCTAATTAATGTTCAGTAAAAAGAATCATACCTTGTACATATTGTATTTTTAATTTATATATATATATTATATTAAGAAGTTTAATGACATGTATAAGGAAAATATTTACCATCTGTTTTTAATTATTAGTGATTTCTGAATTTATAATCACTATAATACTGTACATAGAGGTATAATACTAGAAGTAAATAAAACAAATAGCATAAACGTCATGACATCACTTTCGTGACCCTGAATTTTATTCTGGTTTTTTTTTTTTTAATATTGCACTATTATTTATCTTTTAAATTAAACTTGCACAATTTTTTTTCTATATTCAAAATTGACTTAATGTGTTAACGTTTAGGCTATTCGGAATGAGATCGTACCTCGGCGGCGACCATTTTTCGTTCGCGACGGTCAGATGCCACCACGAAAGCTCGTAAGGCTAGCGCTGTGGAACAAAGCCACGCCCATGCGCAGAAATCGGCCGCCGAGGTACGAGATTTATCGTATTTTTTAAATTTATCTACAATTTTATAAGGTTCCATTTAATTTCGTGCATAAAATACCATACCTAAGTTTTCAATAAAATTACAAGGAACTTCGTAAAATTTTAAACAGACTATTAAGGTTAAGAAAATATATGATGAATACTTGATGTATAAGTCGATTGTTGAAAACAGGACGCCCGCAAGTGTTGTTTTCGTCTTATAAACGAACGAAATATTAATTTTGTGTTAAGCGTTCAGCAGCTTCAATATAAAACAATCATCTTTAATAATAGAGAGAACTGATCAATAATTAACCTTAGAGGTAAGAAATACTATTTTAAAAATTAAAATATTGAAAAAAAAAACTCATAAGAACACAAATATTGAGCTATCATAGTTTTCAACTAATAGCTAATAAAAAAAAAAAAAAAAAAGAACACAAATAAAATTCTTACGTTTTAGTTTGACACTAGATCAATTTACTCTATTATTTAAGTGTATTTCACAAACTTGGAATTGCTGAACACAAATTTTCTGTTATATTTAATTGTTCATTATACAGAGATAATGCACACAGTGTAACATCCTTTTATAAACATCTTACAGTATAGGTAAATTAGCTGATACATTTTTACAGATTTATGATTCAAATATTAAGAAAAATTTTGAAATGTAGAGACATTTTAATTTGGTTTTATTTTTATAGTTAAGGCTCTGAAGTTGATGACCTTAAAAACATTAAAAAAAAAAAAAGAATAGTAATAATTATAAAAATCACAGCTAGCAATTACCTTATTCTATCAAAGATAAAAATCTTTGCCTTACCCGTATACAACTTGGGTAAAATATTATTTTATAAAATATAAATGTAATGTAGGTACTTATATACAGTCTGTGTAAAATAAAAATGATGCGAGTAAAAATGTTAATTGACAAAATCAAATTATAAATACAAGAAATAGAACTCAAAAGGAAAATAGGATCTAAAAATAACAAAAAATGCAAAATAAAAATTAGTTATTTAGATTCACATGTTTATGAAACATATTTGTGACCAGACAAGCATCGCCTAATAAATTCCCCCCCCCCCCCCAAAAAAAGCATCAACTTCTAAGATATACTTATAAAACCAATAATACTAATACTAATTTGTTGTCAAATAGCTGTTATTTTCTATTTTTTAATCAAAATGCAAAAATTAAATTAAAAAAAAAAAAATTTCATAATACATATTTTATTCTTAATTTTTTGAAG